TAGCTAAATGGATGCATATTGAGGCCATACTCTTAAGTGAAATAAATAGGACACACATGTGTAAATACCAAATAGTTTCTCTGGTGTGAAAAACTTAAAGAGTAAATAAGGATTAAAATGATTAAAATGAATAACTGATAATTTGAAATAGGAAGAAAAAGTCCAAAGGGGTAGGGGAAGTGAAAGGGAAAGGGAAAAGGAAAGAAGGGAAAGGAAAAATTACAAGGAAAAAATGGAAAGAAAGTCTTTGTAGAGGGAAGTGTGGAGGGGGTGAAGGGAGAACAGGGAATGGGGAAAAAATAAGAACCAAGATACATCATGTACAGGTACAAGTACCCAATGATAAATGTAAATGTATAGTACACCTAAAATGTACCAATAAAAGAATTTAAGGAAAAAGAAAAAAAAAGAGATGGCAAAACATGACATTTTGACAGGCAGAGGCAGCCACAATACCAGTCTAACACAAGGATTCATCAACTTCTCAGCTTAGCCTGGTTCCCCTTTTCATACCTGAGCCCAATAGGGTCCAGGTGGCACTGTGGAGGATCCTGCACAGAATGCAAGAAGGCCTGGTGACACAGATCCCCACCTGGCCTGCAGTCATGGATGACTTGACAGAAAGTCAAGTACAGGGTGTACAGGAAGCTCTGGCCTCACTAGAGGGCCCCCTACACCACCTGATCCCTACAGGAGGCATTTTGTACCCTCTGCTTGTCAGCAAAGTGGCTTCTTTTCTACTACCCTCACACCACCATAGTGAAGAATATGAGCAGTTTCTGATCTAGTTCAGGCAAGGTCAGTAATAGTACTAATGGGAACAGCCCAGATGCCTACAAAGGGGATTACAGCTTGGAGAGCTATCTCAACTCCATAGAAACAACACTTATAATTCACTGCAATTCTTTTTTCGTTTTTTGTTTGTTAGTTTGGTACCAGGGATCGAACTCAGGACCTTGCACTTGCGGGGCAGGTGCAGTGCCACTGAGCTAAATCCCCAGCCCTCGTTTTGTTTTTTTTGAGACAGGGTCTTACTATGTAATTCAGGCTGGCCTTAAACTCACTATGTAGCCCAAGCTGCCCTGGAATTTGCAGTGATCCTCTTGTTTTAGCTTCATGAGTGCTGGGATTACAGGCCCGTGTCACCATGTTGCAATTCTTGCAACAGTCCTACGAGGCATGCCTATTACTAGCTCCATGCAGGAAAGTGAGGGTCACAGGCCAAGAAACTGGCTCCAGGTCACACAGCTGGTAAGAGGCAGAGTCAGAGTTCAAGTAAAGAGAGGATAGTAGTTATACAGCTTGCCCCTTGACTCCATCTGCTTTACAAAAGTAGGCAGCAAAGGCATGGCTACAGTCTCATGGCCTAGCTCCTGGACTTGCTAAGGGCACCCAGAGTACGTACTTCTTGAGAGATATACAGTACACAGCCAGCTGTTCCACCGCTGACTGTCCCACACCCATGTCTCGAATCATTTCTTCCACCTCAGGCCGCTGGCTCTGGAGTAGGAGCTCAATCCTGAAAAACATACCCGGCCCATGGCATTTAAAATCTGAAGGCTGATGGTTAGTCTGCTTTCCTTTGCTGCCGTTGCTATAGCAACAGCCTGAGCTGCTAGGATGCTTTAGCAGGTGGGTGTGCCCGAGGAAAGGCTCCACAGCAGAGCTGAGCACAGCTCCAGGATGCTGCTGAGGAAGAAGAGATGCTGACAGAGGACCTCAAGGTCAGGGATTTTCTGTAGAGAGGTTCCTGGAGGGAAAGATCTGGGTATAAGTAATGGGGAGGAAGGAATGTGGCAATCCCCCTTCCCCATGGAAAATAGAGGGATCTACACAGGTAAAGCAAGGAGACTTTGCCCATGTGTTGCTGGTCTGAACTCTCCACTTCCTGCTGCAGTCCTGAGAGCCATCCCACCTTTGGGCCATCAGCAGGAAGGCACAGTATAGCTGCCAGCTCCACACTTACCGTTCCATGGCCTTAATCTTGTTTCTAAGTCGGCGGGCCTCCTCCTGTGCTTGTTTAGTCTCATCCTGCTGCTGCTCCAAGTATTTCATCTGCTTCTGAGGACCAAACACACCCATACACGTTGCTTGGATGTTTCCAGGAGCTATGGCTGAAGTCAGTGGGAGTACGTTGCTTTAGTGCTACCTGCACTATTGCACTATCTTTTGAAAATGCTGATAACTATATATCTCTAAATCCCAGGATAATATATGGGCTCTACTCTTGTCCCTGCTTTTCTAAAAGGCCATAGGCTAGTTGCTGCTTCATGTCTGTGTCTTCTTCCTCTGAGATATACCTTACCATAGGCACAGTTCACTGCCAGCCCCATTCTGGGCTGACTGCATTCAGTGGTGTAGGCCTCATGGTACATGTTGTACAGGTAGCTGAATAAGTCCAGAGGACAAACCCAGGCCTCACCATCAACCATGAAGACCCATGGACAGGTTCCAATATGAGCCAGGAACAGCTAGCCAGGCTGTCCTTAGCATAAGACCACTCCATCTCTGACCTGAGAATGCCATCAGAGACTTCTGCTCTGTAGCCAGATGCAAGTTGGTTCCCTCCCACTGGCCAGGCCATGTAATCCAGCACAGCCTTCAAGCAGGAACAGAGAGAATGAATATCCTGGGCCCTTTGTTCACAAAGATGGCTCCTTTTCCCTTTCAAATGGCATCCAGCAAGGACTGCTCCTGTCTACAAGGCCAGAATATCAATTGTGGGTTCAGATCAATCACCTCATGCCCCTTAGAGAGCAAGAGGCTCACCAAGCCAGGATGATACATTTGGGTCTAGGCTGTTTGCTCTACAGGCTTTGATCTGCCTGGTCAGCTCAGCACAGGCAACTTCAAAGGCGCTTGCTCTTCCCTGGGATTCTGTTTGATCTCGCTCCAGAGAGCAGCCTAGACTGGAGTGCTAATGGAAGGTTCTTCGGGCTGGCATCACCAATGGAGTATGAGCCACTTTTGGAAACATGGCCTAGCCTCACTGAGGTCTTAATTGAACATTTCTCCTGAAGTGTTGGGAAGGTCACACTTCTCCAAGCACAGCCAGTATGACTTTTTCTTGTAAGCCAGATGTGCACAGGATAGGAGGGCCTGGGGAAGAAGCCATTTGCTTTCACTTCACAACTACAAAAAGCAAGGCACTGACTGAGGCAGAACCAGAAGAGAAACCCAGAATGGTGAGCCCAGAGCTGAGGGTCTACTTCCCCACCAACTCTATGCTGGCAAAATGAGGGGACCTACTTTGAGTGTGGAGCAGAGCATCTCAGCCTTGTCTAAGGCATTCTGCAGAGATTCCACAGTGGCGTTGCGTTCTTCCAGTGTGTCCCGCAGAGTGTCAATGATAACCTGGCTGTCTCGTTTCTCCTTCTCTGGAGTTGGGTGGGTAGATGAAAGATTAGGCCCATCTGCCCATCAGCATGAAAACCTGGGCACCTGAGTTCCAGCTCCTCATCCCTGAGCCAGGTAAGGATTAGGCTCTGGCCACAAAGTTGGGTGGCCTACTTCTCCCTCTGACATGTATCAACTTGGGGAGCTAAAAAGCCAGAGCCAGAGCCAAATCCTCTTTTTGCTGCTTAAACTATGTGGAAAGATTTCACTATTCTCCCTCTCTTCATTATTCCAGAACTCAAGCAGGTTCCTGTCAAAATCACCAGCTGAATCTTCTCTTGCAGATACTTTGTCCATCCAGTGGCCTCCTCTCAGCCTGGGTCCTGGCTCAGAAGCCCCACACTGAAAGAACAGGGTCACCGGGTCTAGGCAGACAGCATCAGTCATTATCCTTTTCTCTCCTTTTCTGGCAGTCACAAGAGCTAGCAATACTCTTGGACATACAAAGTAGGGGGAGCCCTTGGCTCTGCCAGAAAGTTAGAGGCCTTCCTCCTGGGGTCCCTTCCCCCAGCATCCAAGCGAGGGGCTTCTATGGGCCCTGTGTCTCTTGCTAACTCACCTTTCTGGGAAAGCTGGGCTTTGATATTGTCCAGTTCATTCTGCAAGACAATACCCAAAGTAAGTGACAGAAATGCATCACAACTCCCTCCACATGGCCTCCTGTAGGCAGTGAGGAGTTCTAGGATGGGCCAATAGAATTGTAGGTATAGGGAAGAATGCAGCCTAAAATACCTTAAGGCCGTGCTAAGCTGACAGTGAAGACGCAAGCATCGCTTTATCTCTATATGCCTTTTTAAAATGTAGGTAAAGGGCTGGGGATTTAGCTCAGTGGTTCCACCGCCTGCCTTGCAAGTGCAAGGTCCCAAGTTTGATCCCCGGTACCAAAAAAATTTTTAAAAATTAAAAAATAAATAAAATGTAGGTAAAGCCAGGTGTGATGGTGGTCCACACTTGCAATCCCAGCACTCTGGGAAGCTGAGGCAGGAAGATTACAAGTTTGGGCCCTGGACAACTTAGTGACTATCTCGAAACAAACAAAACAGGACAGTGCATGAGGATGTAGCTCAATCCAAGGACCTGGGTTCAATCCCCAGTACCACAAAATAAATAATATAGACATAGGTAAGATGGAAGAAACTACTCTCAGCACCAAGGTCCTGGGACAGGGAAAGGGAAGAACAGGAAAAAGGGAAGTGAAGCTGGGTCCGTGAATTAGTCCTGACAGCAGAGGCTGCCATTGCCTCCCTGGCCCTGCACTAGCCTCTCTCTCTCTGAGCATCAGCTATACTCACTAGGGACACAGAATAAGGATGACTGAGAACCTTGGGCCACCTGCTTGATACACAGTGTACCAAACCTTCCAGGCCCAGAATCCAATTAGGATTGGTAAGCAGGGCAGCTTTGCAGCCCTGGAGGAAACTCCACATGTACTAGGTTCTGACCAGTCTTATGTGAGGGGCCAGTGAGCCCCTCAGAGCCCTTGAATATGTTCCAGAGTCACTGCCACACTACTGAAAGGCTAAGGCAGAAGTGAATCCAGCTCCCATGTGGAAGTCCAGAGAACTCAACACCTCTGGGTGAAAGGTACCTACTCCATAACCAGGAAAACCAAAGTTTTGCAGAATTGAAACACTTGGTCAAGGTTGCATGGTGGTAGCTGGACAGAATTCAGGGAAACCTTCCTCTGGATCACCCTTCCAAGCTCAACAGGAGACTCAGAATTTGACATGTAATCCAAAGTACAGCCCAGTGGTTAGGTAAGCCCCTTGCTGTTAAAGTCTCCCCTAGGACTTGGGGGGCAGAGTCTTCTGTAGCTGAGCTGGTCAGTACAGGCTGAACAGCTGGCAGTGGAAGTCCTGGATAGGAAAGGAGATGCCGGATCTGCCTAAGGGCACATACCAGCTCAAGTCTGTGGCACCACTACACATAGCCCCTGGTCCCTTCCATACCCCAGCAGGGTGTCTTCCAGGCTTTTGTCCCAAACAACTCATGATGTTGCCTCCTTGTCTCACAGACCTGGTTTCAAAAGAAATGAAGCTGCCTTTGTTGCCTTCATCATAAGGAGAACAACACTTAAAAACTGGGAGCAGTTACCAGGACAAAAACATGCTGGCTCAAAAACACAAAATACTGAAGCAGTGAGATTGCAAGGACATCAGGACACTTGGGGCCATAGCCAAATAAACTGATCTGACAGATGCCCAGCAAATTAGCTCTCAGAGTCCAGGGATCGCCTGTGAACCCCAGTCCAACTTCCTCAAGAGCTTTCTGCCAATTCAGCTCTCTCATTAAAAAAAAAAGCAGCTAAATTTTAGATTTGGAGGGGAAATAGATGTCCAGGAAGAAACCTACTCATCCTTCCCAGCAGTGTTTCTCCCTCAGCTACAAATCTTGGTTACAAGGGCTTTGTCCTCTATTACTGGTCTGAGGAAGACTCAGGCATCTGACTATATTCCAAGTTCCCCAGGTAATTCAGATGCACTGCTAGTTAGGGAATAGTGGGTTCACACATCTTTACTGCCCGGGGAGTAAAAGAATTTTCTAATCTGTCATTGACTGTCCAGCAGCAAAATGTACTGAGCAGGAAAGCTACAGATTCTTCATAAGGTAAGGGGACCTTGGAGAGTCACTCTGTCCTTTGGTTAGAATTGCTCCAAAATCCTAAGGGGAGGTCTCACAGTCAAGTGGTCCACTTTCCCCTTCAGTGTATTTCTTTGATGAATGCACCTCATTTTCACTTGTCCTCCATTCTCCTTACCCCTGCCCTGCAATCTCTACCAAGTCCTCCCTCCATAACCCCATCTCCATGCTCTAGGCCTCTCTCTGTGTAGAACTGGAAAATGGGTTCCCAGAGACTTTTAGAACGAGATCAATTCTGGGTACCTTTAAGAATTCCGCATCCAAGGCAGTCTCCTCCTCCTGGGCCAGGTCAAAGAAGAGTTTATTGATAATAGTTCTTTTGCCAACCTGGATGGGAGAACAATATAAAAGTATGACTGCTTAGAAGGGTCCTGGGCAAGAAGGAAGGGAATACAAGGGTCTGACTGCCTGCCAACATGCATGGTAGGTCTGTTCTTAGGCCTAACTTTTCAAAGTACATTTTTTGGAGTCAGAAGTCCTCTTCATCCCTGCAATTTTCCCAAGCTGGAACTGCTGGTTTGGTGGTTGCTGAAGTCATGCTGCTGCAGATACCTGTCACGTGTGGAGAAAAGATCCCTCCACTACAGGTATTGGGGCATTTTCTAGGCAGAAATGGAGGCCAGATATACTCAGGTAGAGACCAGCCCAGGGAACAAGTCTAGCTGCCAGCTACCTCTGGGTGTAAGGAGACATCCCAAGCAGCTCAAGGGCACTCGTGAGACTCAAACAAGCAAGGCAAAAAGGGTCAGATGTACTGCTCAGTTTCAGAGATCTTTCCACATTGATGCTTTATAGCAAGAAAGAGATGTCCAGGTGAGGTGGGCCACTCAATACCCTTACCTGGATTCGGCATTGTGGACAGGTCTGCCTTGGTGCTGTCTCAAACCACTGAATAAGGCTAGAATGAAAACCAGAACAACAGAGTGGTAAGCCCTGATGTGGCTGGGGACCCTGCTTCTCCTCAACCCAATGCCTGCCTCAGGGAGTTATGGCACCTCCCACAAGGCCTCACTAGTATTCAGCACTCAGACCAACTGGCCTGTAGGACTGGCCAGAAACTGTTCTGCCAACCTTCTGGACTTTGACTGGGTGGCAAGGTGGCAGTCAAAGCCCAGGATCTCTCAGAGATGGGGACTCTGATAACACCCACACTTTAAGATAGGACCCTAAAGACTATACTTTCAAGGTAAGTTGTAGTAAAAACAAAACACAGCCGAGCTTTGTATCATCCATCAACGTGGGCTAGCAACAACTCAGTCCTTAAACTTTAAGCAGTCCCTGCCAGGCATGGTGGTGGTGCATACCTGCAATCCCAGCACTCTCGGACTCTGAGTCAAGATGTCAAAAATTCGGATCAGAGCCTGTGCAAATTAGTGACTTAGCAAGACCCTGTCTCAAAATAAAAAACAAAAAAGGGCTGGGGATGTAGCTTAATGTGAAGTCCCTGGGTTCAATTCCCAGCACTGCAAAAAATAAATTTAATTAAATTAAAAATTTTTTTAAAGTAGTCTTCTATTAGTAGACTTTCCAACCTCCAGGGACTACAGAGAAACAAAGTCATCTCTGAAATATGATACCATCATCCAAGGCTCAAATTTTTCCTACAAATATATTTTCAAATATCATGTACAACATAGAATCATGGCTAACCACGGCCGGTACCACGCAAAGTCCTGAGTTTGATCTCCAGTACCAAAAAAAAAAAAAGGCTGGGGATTTAGCTCAGTGGTTCCGGCGCCTGCCTTGCAAGCGCAAGATACCAAGTTCAATCCCCAGTACCCTACCCCCCCAAAATATATATACACATATACATATATATATATATGATCATCATCATGGCTAACCAGGCACAGTGGAAAACTACAAAACAAAGAGAATGTATAAGTCAGCTAGGAACCCTATTATGAATCACAAAAACCTAACATTGAGGAACAGAAGTCAGACACAAAAAAAATTACATTTTGGGCTGGGGAGTTAGCTCAGTGGTGCCTCACCTGCCTGGCAGGCACAAGGTCCTGAGTTCGATCCCCAGTACTGGAAAAAAAAAATTACATTCTGTATGATTCCATGTACATAAAAGAAAAATGTACACAAAATTCATTTATGCTCTCAAAGTCATGACAGCGGTTGCCTTTATAGGGGGGAGGAAAGGGAGAGTGGTAGAGGTCATTAGAAAAGCATATGTAGGGGTGGGGATGTAGGTCAGCGGCACCACGCCTGCCTTACAAGCACAAGGTCTTGAGTTCGATCCCTGGTACCAGGAAAAAAAAAAGCATAGTAGAGGTTTCAAGATTTGATAATACCTTCTTTGCTCCCTCTTTCCTTCTCTCCCTCCTTCCTTCCTGCTGTGCTGCGGCTCAAACCCAGGGCCTCCCTCAGGGCAAGCACTTGACCAGTGAACTACTCCCTTGGTTCAATATCCTCTTTCTTACTTTGAATTCTGACTGCATGGATGTGCTTGTTTATGAAAATTCTGCAATCACTTGTACTTTTCTGTAATTACATTCTACTTCAATAGAAAAAAATTTAAAAAGTAAACCATCATCCAGAGAAAAAAAGCACTATGAGCACAAACCAGAAGAACATGTCCACGAAGTCCTCATGTATTAGAATTGTCAATTACAGACCAAACACATTATGGTAAAAAATAAAAACCAAGTCTGAAATATCAGTACAGAATTAGCAACTAAATGGTGACAGCAAAATTTTAAAAGAATCCACTAAAGTTATGTGGCTTGAGCTCACGAGTTGGAGACCAACCTGGGAAACATAGTGAGACTGCATCTCAAAAAAGAAAAATAAGGACTGGGGATTTAGCTCAGTGGTTCCACCGCCTGCCTCGAAAGCACAAGGTCCCAAGTTAGATCCCCGGTACCAAACCCCGCCCCCCCCCAAAAAAAACCAAAGTCATAAATTCTTTTTTGTTTGGTTTTCTGTTTTTTTTGAGGCAGGAGTCTCACTATGTAGTTCAGGTGGGCCTCAAATTCATGGTGATCCTCCTGCCTCAGCCACCCGAGTGCTGAGATTACACACATGTGCCACCATGCCCAGCCAAAAGTCGCAAATTCTCAAACTAAAAACTGCCCAAAATTAAGAAGTCAAGTAGGCTGGGGATGTAGCTCAGTGGTGCCTTGCCTGCCTGACAAGCATAAGGTCCTGAGTTTGAGCCCCTGTACCACAAAAAAAAAGTCAAAAAGTGGATTTAACAGCAGTTTAAACACAGCTGAAGAACTGTAAACTCAAGGCCAAGTCAAAGGAAACATTTGATAAGAGATACAGAAAATAATCTGAGCAAGTCTAACACAGGTACAAATGGGAATTCTGGAAAGAAAATTATACATAGAATGCTACTACCATCACCAAAAAAGTGCACATCCTGATATCTAAAACTTGTGAATATGCCGTATTATGTGGAATTTTGTGATGAAGAGGGTTTTATTGTTGTTAATTTTTTTGTTTCTACGTTTTTGTTATTGTTTTGCAGTGTGAGGATTGAATCCAGGGCTTCCAGCATACTAAGCATGTGCTCTACCACTGAACCTCACCCCAACCCTTGAGATGGAGAGATTATCACAAGGGTCCTTATAAGAGTGAAATGGGCCAGGCACTGGGGTGTGCATATGTAATCCCAGAACTCTGGGAGGCTGAAGCAGGAGGATCACAAGTTTGAGTCCAGACTGGACAATTTAGTGTGACCCTTTCAAAACATAAAAACATCTGGGGATGTAGCTTAGTGTGAAGGCCCTGGGTTCAATCCCCAGTACCTAAAAAAAAGAGACAGAGACAGGAGTATCAGAGTCAGAAAGAGGCCATGAACCAAGGAAGGAAATTAAACAACACATTCTTAAACAACCAATGAGGCAAAGAAAAAAAAAATAAATCACAAAGGAAATTTAAAAAATACCTTGAGATGAATGAAACAATAATATACAACATACCAGAACAAGGGCCGGGGATTTAGCTCAGTGGTTCCGGCGCCTGCCACAAAAGTGCAAGGTCCTCATTTGGATCCCCGTTACCAAAAAAAAACACAAAACAAAAAAACCAGAACTTAGGAGATACAGTAAAAGAAGGGGTAGGAGGGGGCCAGGGATTTAGCTCAGTGGTTTCGCAGCCTGCTGCGCAAGTGCAAAGACTCGAGTTCAATCCCCAGTACCAAAAAAAAAAAAAGGACGCATGTGTAAATACCGAATAGTTTCTCTAGCATGAGAAACTGAAAGTGTAAATAAGGACTAAAAGGTATAATAGATAGTGTGAAATAGGAAGAAAAAGGGCAAAGGGGAAGGGAAAGTGAGAGGGGTAGGGGAAAGGAAAGAAGGGAATGGAGTTAATATGAGAAAAAGAAAAAATGGAAACAGTCTTCGTAAATAGGGAGAGATGGAGGGCTTGAAGGGAGAGCAGGGGAAGGGGGAAAAATAAGAACCAAGAGAGATTATGTAAAGGTGCAAATTTCCAATGATGAATGTCTTTATATTGTATAACTAAAATGTACCAATAAAATAAAATTTAAAAAAAAAATGATACTCAAAAAAAAAAAAAGAAGCAAGGACTCAAATAAGTATTTGTACACCAACATTCACAGCATTATTCACAATGGCCAGATGTGTCAATAGACAAATGGGTAAACAAAATGTGATATACACATACAATGGAATACTGCTCAACCTTAAAAAGAAATAAAATTTTGCTAGATGAGGTATACCTATAATCTCAGCTACTTTGGAGGCTGAAATGGGCGTGTCACAAGTTTAAAGCCAGCCTAGGTATCTTAGTGAGACCCCTGTCTCAAAAATTTAAAAAGGGGTGGAAATGTAGCCCAGTGGTAGAGCCAGCACAAGATCCTGGATTCATCCCCAGTAGTGAAAAAATAAAAAATTCTGACACATGCTACAAGTAATATGAATGAACCTCAAAGACATAATTCTAAATGAAATAACCCTACCACAAAAGGACAAATATTGTATGATTCTACTTGCATGAGGTACTTAGAGCAGTCAAATTTATAAAGATGAAAAAGTAAAATAGCGTTTATTAGAGCTTTGGGGCAAGGGACAATTGGGAGTTATATTTAAAGGGTACAGATTTCAATTTGGGAAAAAAGATTGTAAAATAATGGTGATAATTGCACAACAGTGTGAATGTACATAATGCTACTGAATTGTATACTTAATAATTACAAAAATGGGGCCGGGGACTTAGCTCAGTGGTTCCGCCGCCTGCCTCGCAAGTACAAGGTCCCAAGTTTGATTCCCCGGTACCAAAAAAAAAAAAAGCAAGAAAGCCAGCCAGCCAACCTGTAATTCTAGCACTGAGGAAGCTGAGGCAGGAGGAGTGCAAATTCATGCCCACCTGGGCAATTTAGTGAAACCTTGTCTTAAAAAATAAAAAAATAAAAGCAGCTGGAGATGGAGCTCAGTGGTAGAGTACTCCTCGGTTCAATTCTCTGTAATGGGGGAGGGGGTGCAGCTGCTGTGGAAAATAGAATGGCAATTACTCAAAAAGCTAAGCATAGGGGGCTGGGGATTTAGCTCAGTGGTGCCGCCCCCTGCCTCAAAAGCACAAGGTCCTGAGTTCGATCGCCAGTACCACAAAAAAAAAAAAGCTAACCATAGAATTGCCGTATGTTCTAGCTTTTTCACACCCAAGTATATTTCCAAAATAATTGAAAACGAACTCAAATAGATGCATGTACAACAATGTTCATAGTAGCATTCACAGTAGTCAAGACGAAATAACTCAAGGTCTATCAACAAATGAACAGTTTAAACAAAGTTTTCCAAACAAGGAGCAAAACCCAGGCACCACCCTTTATGCCTTTTTCACAAATCCCCTGTAATTATTACTTCCCATCATTCTCAGTTGTTGTTCTGCCTTATATTCTTTTGCTGGGAGCTCTGAATTAGCCTGTCCACAACTGCTAGGAGAATCTTTCCCCACTAACTGAACACTCAACAAAATGGTCCTACATAGCAGGATCCCTTGATAGGGAAACATCTCCTTGCCCTTCCAGTAAAGCTCGGTTTGGTGGGTAGTGAATAGCATTGGGGTGTCTGGCCAATAAGGTGATTCTGGATACATCAATCCAAACCGTCAGGCAAACCACAATAAATCCCAGAAGCTACCAGGATTTTTGTTTATTTTTTTTCAGACAAGGTCTCGCTAAGTAGTTAAGTTTGGCCTTGAACTCACTATATAGCCCAGGCTGGTCTCAAACTCGCCGCGACCCTCCAGTCTCAGCCTCCCAGGTGCCAGGATTACAGGCGTGCACCACCAGGCTCAGAAGCTACCACTAGGTTTCTATCTTTAAGAAATAAAAGGGTTCGTTAATATGATGAAAATTAATCTCTGCCTAGGCTGATAGTTGTGAAGTCACAGCCCTGAACAGGTGATCAAAGCGTCGCCCCCCCCCGACCCCCCCGCAATTCCTCCTAGCTCGGATCAGCTATCACTTCCGCCTGACCCACTTAAGCACAGGGGAGGAAGGTCCCGTGGGGCTCTGCCTAATGAGGTTCTCATCACCTGTCTGGGCTGGGAGGATGAATTGCCTGCAGGCTTGACACCCCCCACCACTACCAGGGAGAACGCCGGCCCCCTACGCCACGGTCACTCACCACTGCAGGTGGAAAGTGTGGCCACAGTGAATGGCGGCCACATCACGGGAGTGGTCAAATAAGTCGGAACAAATAGTGCACAGCGCACGGATAGGCATGATGGCAGGATGCTAGTGGCCCAGGTAGCTAAGAAAACCACTACAAGTCCAGCTGCGTGGTCGCTCAACCGCCTCTCCGCTGGCTTCAAATTTGGCTCCACCGTGCGACTTCCGGGAGAGGGCCGGAAATGATGCCACCGAATCGGTGCTGCAACCTTTACTTCTTGTCCTGATTGGACAAACCCTCAGTGGGCGGAACTAGGGGCGGGGCCTAGTGGCCTCTGGGCTGTAGAGGATCCTGGGACAGAGTGCTGTAGCTGTCAAGCGTCTGTGGAAAGGACTGGAGCCACTGCTTTGGCTTGGCTTTGGAAAGCACCGACGCTGCCAGCTGGACCCTTTTCCCGGGCAAAGCCGGGTGTTATAGTCCCAAACCATAGCTGGTGGGAAGCGGGTGGAGCCTGGACTCCTCACCTGTTCTTTCTGCACTTCAGGACAGTCAAGACTGCTGCTGCAAGGGAATGGGGATGATGGCCCCGATGGGTCTCCAGGGCTCTGGGCAGAGCTGGACCGTGTGCTGGCACCCTGTAGTTCCCAAAATAAAGCCCCACGCTCTCAGCCTTAGGTTACAGGTAATCTTGGCAAGATGGACACATGGGTCCCAACTCAGGACACTCTTACGTTAACCTTGGTTTTATTCCACTAAGACGTAATAATCCTCAGGTTTGAAGATACCAGTGCCAGTACCCTAATTTAGACCTTAGCCCCCAGGATTCGTCATGCCTGGAACTGTAGTCAGGTTGCAATTTTGGATCAAGAGATACTTCAAAGACCAGGGACTAACAAACCCTTTTTATTATTCCCACATCAGAGAAGTTATCTTTGAGGTCCTCCCTGAGAAAGCAGCAACCTTGGTGAGTTCATCCGAGGCCCATCTGAACTGAAACGAGACTCCATAGGGCTTTTCATGCTATTTTTTGCAATATTACTTCCTCTGCCCAGAAATCTTATGCAGAACCCCATATTATAAAGCTGATCTGCTCCAGCAGAAGACAGAGCAAAATCTTTTGGGTCTATGTAGAAAGCACAGGTATTCACAGGAAGTAGGAATCAACACACAGCACAGAACTTTTGTGCAATGCCCATCCTATACCCTTCCCAGCTCTATTTTGGACATGTGCAAACTCTCTTCCTGTGATGGTTGGCCCTGAGTGGGTTCCAGGTCTATCCCCAAATTAAGACAAAGGCTCCTTTATCAACAGAGTTGGAACAGCAACCCCTACTTAAGCTCTCACCCCAAGGGTTATTCCTTGGCGAAAACCTAGCCCAGGGCTCACCACCCACATGGATTTGCAGAGTCCAAGGGATCCCCACCACCACCTTCAAGTAACATACTGGTAAGTGACCTTCACTTTCAGCCCCAGTAATCCACTGAGCATCAGTCACTACTTGTGAACCTTATCTCAGACTCTCCCCTCCCATTGCCTTCTAGGGACTCCTCCTCGGTAGGACAGAGGAAGCAAAGGCAAGAGGGTGGCCAGAGGCTTTGCAGGGTGACGTTTATTTGCCAGGTTCAGCAGGCACACAGTCAGCCCACCAACCTTCACATACCAGAGCAGACCTATAGGCATGCACGGAGAAGGGCAGGACCACCAGAGTGCCAAGCAAGGGCGAGGACCAGTGTGGCTGCCTGTCCAGGCTGTGGTATGGTCTGACAAAGGACACCTGTCAGGAGCCTCCTCAGGGAACTAGAGTCTTATTCCACTTCCTTGTCTTGGCAAAAGCAACTTAACATGGCTTAGGGGCACCCAGACCTCAGATCAAAGTAAGCAGTAAAAACAGAGGAGGATCATCCTCTCCATGTTGATGAACTGAAGGTAGAAAATCTGCCACTGTGAAGGGCACACCCACATGCAGCAGGACCCCTAGGATGGCAGACTTATGGGTCAAGCCTCTGCAGGATGGGCATATGGGAAGAGTATGGGGATATCAGCCAGCCCTCCCTGTTTGGCCCACGGCAAGGACTCAGCTAGGCTGAACAACCAGGTACTGAGCTTGTACTTTGCTATCTCAGGTCTCATTGCCAAATCTTAAGTGCTCCTCCTGTTAAAAAAGCTCATGAGAGATTGAAGATACAGGGCAATCCACTGCAGGGCTCAGGAGGGTAAGAAATAACACAAGGGTCTTAGGAGGGCCTTCCCAGGGACAAATGTGGAAGCTTCCACCCTCCTACTCATTCTTTCCTACTTCTGAGGACCCCCATAGCTAGCATGCAGTGCCCCCAGCCATGTGACCAGTCTTGATTTAAAGCACAGTGCCCTAGATTTCTACATCCTCTATACTGGCCAGTGTCTACTCCTAGAGCAGCCCACACATCAAAGGTACACACCTTCAAGTTCAGGAGCCTATTACCACTGACAGGGCCTCGCTGGAAGACCAGCTCTCAGGGCAAGGCCACCCAATTTAGGGCCTGGGAAAATATGGGACTGGCAGGGCCTGCCTGGGGGAATGATGAGGCAGGAAGGGACAGAGAAGTGCAGGGACCCCGAGTATCCCTAGAGCAGCATCCCACAAGGAACAGAAACTAGAGAAGCTAGCGAAAGACAAAAAAGCCACAAGGAATCCATGCAGGGGCTGGAGCCAGTCCTGCCTCTGGCCAACCCACCACTCATACACATATACACAGGAGATGAGATTGCTCTCCCGTGACCCCCAGACATGCCCCACTGGGATGGGGGGCTTGGGGGAGCAAGGGCATCATGCCAGCAACTCTATGTACAGTGAGAAGCCCCTCATCCACTTTCCCACCCTCCTGTCAGTTCCCCAACCCCCCAACCAGGCTGCCCACTCAGCTAGTCTCCTCCTTCCGAGACTCCTGGACATAGCCAGAAGCCTCTTCCCCTTTACTAGAGGGTGGAACCTGGCCTGTGGTGCCCTCTAGGGCTGTGCTGTCTGGCTGAGCCATAGTTGGTTCAGGGGTGGTAGCTGCCTTGGCAGCTGGTGTGGCACTGCTTTGAGTGGTGGGCACTGTGCTCTCTTCTGTGGCTGGTGTGGCTCTCCCATCAGTGGCTGGAGTAGTGCTCCTGTCAGTAGCTGGGGTGACGCTGCCATCAGTGGCTGGGGTGATGCTGCCATCAGTGGCTGGGGTGACGCTGCCATCAGTGGCTGGAGTGGCGCTGCCATCTGTGGCCGGGGTGGAACTATGGTCTGCAGAAGCCACATTATCACTCTTGGCAGCACATGCGGCATCTCCCCCTATGGCTACAGCAACACTGCCCCCTGAGGCTGGAACAGCTCCAGTAGCAGCTGTGGCCCCACCTGCAGCCCCGGGGGTGGCAGATTCTGTGGCTGAGGCAGACTGAGAGGCAGCTGTGCCAGACTGCTCTGGTGCCCGGAGCCGTTTCATGAGGGTGGTCACTCGGACAGCTTTCTGAAAGGATGACAAAGGAGAAAGGCTCAGGGTGAGGATTGCTGGATCCATTTCTTCCCAATAGCCAAATCTAGCCCCTTCCATGGTATCCCAGCTGCCTCTGACCACCCATCAATCAGTACTCCTGCTTAGGGTAATGACAGCAGCTACAGCCTCACCTGGTGGCCTATGAAAGCTCGTGTTTGGCCACAGGGGTGTGGTACCAATTGTGAGTCCCAGGAGCACTTGTGAAACAGTCAGCAAATCTTACCTTCCACTTGGCCCTGGCAAAGTTCTTTTCAATTTGGGCACAAACACCGTCCTTGATGTTCTTATCAGAAGCAGCATTGCCAGAAATCCTGAGAAGGGTACAAGTGTGTCAGGATCTGAGGGATATGGGTCTTCATGGAGACTCTGTCTTACCCACCCCTATGGGATCCAGGACTACACCAGACAGAGCCTCTGGGCTGGCCTGAGCTCTAAGTGCCCACACCCACTCAAGGCCTCAAGGATAGGGGCTCCTAGGTGTAAGTGGTACAGAGGTCCTTTCATTCTCCCCTGATCCTTGCTCACCATTCATGGGAGATGGCCTCTTCTGCAGTAATCCGCTGGTCTTGCTCTACCTCCATCAACCTTGTGACCAGGTCTTTGGCTGGGGATAAAGCCAGGGAGAGGCTAGGCATGGCACCCACCTCATTGTCTAGAGGTGATTAATGGGCTGGGAGCAGGAGCAGAATGCAGCAGAAGAAGCTGAGAGCAGTTTCTCCTTTCCTACTACCCTACATTCTACACACATGCTGGGCACCTCCTCACCTGCCTGAGAAATATCATCCCAGTATGGAGAGTCAAACTCATAGTCACCAGCCAGGATCTTGCGGAAGAGATTCTTATCATGGTTTTCATAGTCATCTTCTTCCACCTCCTCATAGAAGGGTGGGTTGCCTGAAAGCCTGCATGGGGGCAGGGTCACCCAGGATAGCCACAGGCACAGCCCCCCGCCCCAGCCTGGCTGCACACCTACTTGTCTACCTATTCACTCACAGAATATACATGATGACACCAATAGCCCAGCAGTCCACAGGACGTCCATACCGTTGCCGTCCTACCACCTCTGGGGCTGCAAACACAGTGCCCACCTGCTGGTCAGTTTCAGGCCTGGCCAAGTCTAGTACCGTCCACACCCACTTTCTGGGATAGGGACTTCCTCCTACCCAAAGAGGCTCCCTGATGTCTGCCCCACCCTACCCCCATCCCATCCCTGCTTGCCCAGATACTCAGGAGTCCCACAGGGCTCCTTGATGAGGCCATTTTCTAGCTTAGCCAAATGGAAGTCACTGATGACAATCTTCGAATTCTTCAGCCTGTTGTAGTAAACCAGGTTCTCTAGCTGCTCCAGCCAGGAATGCATGTAGGTGAGCAGAAGAAGACACCATGAGGGCCTCAGAGGCTGGACCAAGGCCTCAAGGTTCTGCCCACCCCAGTCCCAGCCAGCTGCTAATTGACCCAGTGACCCCGGCCCTGGCCTCACCTTCAGGTTCCTGTGTACAATCTTGAGTGAGTGCAAGTAGGCCACAGCCTCCAGGACCTGCCGCACCACGTTGCTCGTGTCTCGCTCCGAGTAGTAGCCCTGGTCCAGGATCCAGTCAAACACCTCCCTCCCCGTGGCCCTGAGGGACACCAGCCCCTGAGCCCGGTGTGGGAAGGATCAGGTCAGGCAGGAGCATTTGGGAGGGCTTCCTGCACCAGGCAGCTGGCTGGGCAAGGCACAGGGACTTGGGACTCCCTAGGGTCCAGAAAGGGGACTTTCTTCAGGTGCAGAGGATAGGACAGGTAAAAGCCTGGGGACTGGGAATCCTGGGACCCCAGACCCTCACTCACAGCTCCAGGAAGATGAAGTACTCCTTGCGGGTTACAAACACATCCACCAGTTGCAAGATATTGGGATGCTTCACCCTGGGGACAAGGAGTGGAGCCAGTGGTTAGAGCTGAGTGAGCCCTTGGGATGGCAGGCAAATGGCAGTGACAGCACAGACGCAGTCATGAGAGGCTGGTGCTGCCTGAGGCTACCTGCCCTCCAAACCTCCCCATATCCCCATTCTACCCTCCCCCGAGGCCTCACACTCACATTTTGAGGATGCCGATCTCATTCTTTGCTGCCTTCCGCACCTTGCGGCCATCCCTCTTCTGAAACTTCTTGCAGGTGTGCAGCTTGCCTGTGGTCTTGTCC